TGGCTGATTCAACAGCCAATACATTTCAGAATGGAACTCCATCCCTTCATCCTCTTTCTGTACTTGCTGACATGTTCTGTAACAAACACTTAAATCAGGTCCATACACAATCTGTTATACAATCATATAATCAATTTAAAGGGAGAGGTACCTTTTTTTGGTACATAACTACCATCTTCCCGTAATTTTATGTTAATATATACAGCTATAGAGTCATTAATAAAAAAGAGTAATTTTTCTTAATTTATCCACCAGATCTCAGTACAATTTCACTTGTATACTAATTTTCATTGTTTATTGAATCTAAATATCGTAGAACGAGAAGAAAATGTTCGTTAAACGAGTCGGTCTAGAACAACAGTCAATCCTATAAGCTTTAGTAAAGTTTCACCTTGGTTAAATGATAAATCATGTGTGAAGACATAGATTGATATAAGAGCTCAAACCTTTGCGTATAAAAAACTAATAAAAATATTGTGACAGATTTAGAAACGTATGTTTCTTTAATAAATAAATAATAGAAAAATGAATGGTGTCTATCATTTTATACTAAAAAATATATATCGGTTATTTATAATATATATACAATATAAACTTGCAGGAGGATGATATTCATAATCCAAAAGATATACCTGTAATCATACATTACATTGTGTTTATCTCCCCATTATAAACTTTAAGGGAGTGATAAGAAATGAACCACAACACCAGCTTTGGTAAATTCAGACAAAAAACCAACAACCTCTGGTTCAAATCACATTAATAGGTACCGCAGGCAAGAGCAACCTAGTTCATGATAATTGAAACAGTGAATAATAGGTGAAGGTTATTCACATATTAAACAAAATGTTAACGCGGGATTCAATCCCGGTTCATGACTGTCGGGAATCGAGAGTGTTACCCACTCGTCCACCGACTTATCACCAACAACTAAATACTATGGTTTCTGACTATGGCCCTCATCAGTACAGGGGCGGCTTTGATTCCATAACATTCTACGAGAGGTGCCATAAAATCGGTCGAATTTTACAAATAAGTGTTTAAGATTGTGAAGTGGTAAGGGCTGGTTTTAAGAACAGTATGCACAATACACTGGAAGATGGAATTTTTGAAATGTATAAAGGGATATTGCGAGTTTATCGTTATAAATAGTTTCTTTTTAGAGTATTTCATTGAATTTATGACATCCTTACAATGATAATTATTCTGCAATATAGCAACCATTTATATATATATGTTATATTGAAATATTATTTCATTTAAAAATATATTTTATAGATTCAAATATTCTGTTTAAATCGACCGCCAGAGATCACTCTTCCCCTATAAAAACTCATTGTTGTTATTTCCCGTTGACCGGCTCAAATATTTGTACATTATGTAAATAATCTTTTGTTTTCTTTGTTCTACACGCCTTAAGTCATGCAGTACTCTTTTATCAAATTATGTCTTTTAAACATTCCTTAGCTCAATTAAAGCAACAACTTTTTTTTTTGCTTATCCCTAGTACACGTGGTACAGGCCATGATAATCATGGTCTGTATAAAAACAAACAGAAAATACAACTAATACTGTAAATACAAACAGAAAATCTCATCTTTTTATTAATATAACATATATATATTGTTTTGAAAATAGAGCAATCCATATTTAATTCATTGGATAATAAAAAGACATATATTGGATTTAATAAAAGATTTATTTGCCAATATTTCGGTTGGCTGAACGCCAAACCTTTATCAAGGCATTACATTTGTTGCATTGCATTACGAATGTAATGCCTTGATAAAGGTTTGGCATTCAGCCAACCGAAATATTGGCAAATAAATATTTTTATTAAATCCAATATATGTCTTTTTATTATCTAAAAGGCATATCCTGACCGTGCTCACACGAGCATTCTAAACGGCAGAGCGCCATCACATGAAAAGCATATTTACACAAATTTGACCATAAATACCCACTTCTTGATTTCTCAGGAAGCCTCTGGGACCAAATATTTGGTTGTAGAGGTACAGTCTGTACCACGCTGACGAGGGCCAACAGTCCGAAACGCGTTCGTGGTTAACTTTTCTCGATTTATCAAGTAATTGGGTTGGCCAAATATCACGGAACAAGTTAAATAAACGTTTAGTTTATTTTTGTTTCACTAGATGGCGCTCTGCCGTCTAGAAATGCTAATTTAAGCATTTCGATGTGTATTTCTATAGCATTTCATCTATATATATATATGTAGTAATCATTTATGGCTTAAAATTAATTAATAATGCGAGAACATGGCTTTCTTATGTTGACGATTCTCATTTTATTAATTTAATTTCCCCTTCTAAAAAAATAAAATCCGCATTTGTATTTATTTTATATTTAAACAACACACACTAACGTTCTTTTTTTATTAAGTAGGGTATATTATTTATTTTTCAGCATAAAAAAATATTAAAAATTTGTACAAAAATAAGAAAAATTAGCTTCATTACTTATCTTGGAAAACATAAATTTGTGTGTTGTACATTAAAAGTATTTTTAACAGAAGATTTATAGGAGTTTTCTTTATCTTTTCTCTTTTTTATTTCCAACTCACATTTTATAGGAGGTTTGTCCTCGCTTTTTTTATTTATGAATTTAGCCTTAATTTCACATTTAGGAAAAAAATACAGATAAAAACAATCTTTTTTTTTTTAAAACGATTAAACCTACACTCACACAACACTATTTATATTTTAAATACAAGCAGAAAAAAATATTTCATTTATTTTATTTTTAGTTATGTCATTATTATATTTATATATTATTATTATATATATATTTTTTTATTTTGATTTATATTTTAAAATAAACTTATATATTTTCATGTTCATTTCAAATTCAAAATCTTAATTGTATAATATAATATGTTTTAAAAATAAATCAATCCATAAATAAATATTTAATTTAAAAGGCATATATTGGATCAAAAATATTATTTATTTTTTATCCAATATATGCCTTTTTTAATTAAAAATATAATGCGTATATTTTGTATCTCTCTAACTACTAAAATAAATTTAAAATTAATAGAATATTGAATTAATTCAATATAATTTTCACTAATTAGTAAAATTTCAATGTCATTGTTATAGAAAAGTTTTGCAGTAAGTTATCAAAATGGAGGCTATTGTTTCAGACGATGGTTTAGAACCAAAAGATACTTTGCCACCACGTGTTGAGGCTGTCTCCACAAGTGGATCGATTGGCGCCGATCAGGGATCAATAAAAAAATCCGATAATACATTTGACGATAGAATCTTCCGCCAAATGGCGAACGTAATCAATAACCCGCTCTGTGACATTTATTTCAACATGGGTCGTTTGGGACGCGCCCAGGTCTTCCTGGTCAAATCTTATTTTTTGTAGTTTTCCTTCCTCACTGAACTTTTGAACAAACATTATTCTCTATATACTTTAGAGAAAGAATAAAAGTGAGAAATATTTTTCTAACAAAGAGATCCATCATGTCAACAAATATAATTATTTCTTTTATAAATTGTGATATATTTATCAGACGGTTTTTTTTTTAAGAAAATAAAATAGGGCAATTCTTTAAAGACTAAAGTTTTTACAAGATTCGTTTTACATCACATATCGAAAAGAGACTCTCACGAGTTTGAAATGCAAAAATATTTAAAAACGATATATTCACTTTATATTTCAAAAGAAATTCTTACTTTGATTTCGAGGTGTTTTTCAAATAAAATCTAAAAGTGAAATACACAAATGCATACAATTCTAATAGTTAAAAAATATTATCTCTTATATATATATAAAATGATGCAATTATAAATTTTAAAACAAATCATAACATATATATAAATATAATACAATATAATGCGGCTTTTGATTGTAAAACGACATTTGAAATTTATCCCGCATGTGTTTCTTTTGAACGAAAAATCAAAATTTATTTTAAGTAGAAATAACTTCATACTTATTCCTTAAGGTTAGAAATAATCGTTATTTCTCCTTAAAATAAATTTTGATTTTTCGTTCAAAAGAAATACATGCGGGATATATATAAATATATTAATGGCAATTTTACCGGAAGGATATTGATCTAAAAATTAAATTTCGCCTCTACCGTCAAAATAGACGCTAGAACTAACTTATATATTATTATAGTAACAGAATAGGAAATGAAAACAATAAGACGCGAATGTTTCTTTTCACAAATAAATCAAACCTTTAATGTATTAGAGCTCTAAAAAAGCGGTCTGGTAGATTAAATAGGCGAAACCGTAGTGAGGGTTCACCACTGATGAGTCAAGCCCTCCCAATATTTTTTCATCGCATTAAGGACAGTATAGGTTTGATTTATTTGTGAAAAGAAACATTCGCGTCTTAATCTTTTCATTTTGTATATATATATGGGGCGTTATCGCTTTGTATTCATATAGGAACAGAATATTTATAGTAATTAAAATAATTGCACAATTTCAGAATCAGAACATTATGTAATTTCATTACACACACATAACAGTTTGTTTTTAAATATATTCTTTGTTCGGGTTTCCAGGGATAAGTTGTTTTTTTTTTTTAAATTTAATTCGCAAATCTCTTGGATGCAATAAATCGTCAATAGAACAAGAGTTAAAATATATTCAAATACTATTTTACATAATTTCCTAAAAATTCTGTAAGATATAAAATTTATATATATATTAAAAATAATGAAGGCATATCCTGACCGGGAGCACATGTGTATTTTTTCTATTGTTTTTTCATATATATATATTTATTAATATTATTATTTATAATACAATATAATGCGGCTTATGATTGCAGAACGCCGTTTGACAACTATACCGCAAATGTTTCTTTTGAACGAAAATTCGTAATTTATTTTAAAGAGAAATAACGACTATTTCATCCTTAGGGATGAAGTATGAAAGGATGAATTGTGAAGAGTAATGGATAAACGGAAAAATAAAAGTATCCAGGGATGGGAATCGAACCCACAGTCTTCCGCTTATCAGGGTAGCCTAGTGGACATGGCATCTACCCGGTAAGCGGAACACTGTGGGTTCGTTTCCCATACCTGGGCATTTTATTTTTCCGTTCATTCATTACTCTTCACAATTCATCCTTTCATACTTCATCCCTAAGGATAGAAATAGTCGTTATTTCTCCTTAAAATAAATTACGATTTTTCGTTCAAAAGAAACATTGTGGTAAAATTTGTCAAACGTCGTTTTACAATTATTATTATTATACAAATAGAGAATCAAAATATTTATAAATTTTTCAAATAAATTAATATGGACGTCTGGGATGTAACTATGGAAGTAAGGAATTTACATATTAAACCGAAGTTAGCAGTATTTTATGTACTCTTTTTTATCACTGAAATAAATGCAGGCTATAGTGAGATAAATGTATAAACATAATTACTCAAAATGTGAAAAGAAACGTGTTTTAAATTGGTATAATTATATCGGTTGTGTGAAATAATCAATATTTGAATGACTCACCAATAATCAATTCTACAGCTTTTTCTCTCATCTGCTTATTCACTACGACAGTTTAATTGTTTTGAAACATATCTTGGAGTGACACAATAAATATTTCCCACTTCTTGGCGTATCTTGGTTTTGTTTTTTAAATCGATAAAAATTATAATTCTTATTATAAAATAAATAAAGCTTCCAGGGTTAAGTTTCTTGTTCAACTTTTTTATTTTCAAGCTTTCGGACTTGTCAATCCTTCAACAGTTAACATCACGTTAACAAATTGAGATGTTTATAATTCTTACTTTAAATAAAGAATTAAAAAATGTCACATATGCAACTTTTAGAAAGTTGTACATTTCTTTATGCTTTTACTAAACTCGTTTTTTAAAGGGTTGTATGGAATATTATTTAATTAAGTCTTTTTTTTTCTATTTATCTCTATGGTATTATCTTCTATTTTTCTATTGTTTTTATTAATATTTATAAAGATATCGCGTGTGTACAAATATATTTGAATATTTTAAATAACTAAACAAAATATAAGCAAACTATCAATACAATCTAGCGATAATAGTTTTCTCAAATAATATCAATTTTTTTTTTGCTATATATGAGGAAAAAATAGCATCAAATTGTATTCATTCTTATTTACATATGGCACGCTAATATTTAAGCAAATTTGTAAAAACTGAAACATTTTACTCTGATCTGATCATAGTAACAATTCTGTTGAATGGATTTCTGCTTAGTTAATGTATTTGGTTTGGTTATTTTTGTACACTTTTTATTCTTTTTAAAATAATCTTCGAGAAAAAAAAACGTATTTTTGTTCAGTATATGTTTATATTCTTTCCTTATTCAATATATAATTGTGAGAAAGCGTTTAAAAACAACAAATATATCTCTCACAATGAGTTTTTCTTTATTTTAAAATGCAAGCTTCCAAGTGATAATCGTTCCTCAATGAACTTAATTAAAACATCGACTAACTCCGCCTTTGCCGGTCCCCAGCCCGGATGAAAAAGGAGGAGGGGGAGCAGTAACAAGCTCACTAAAAAACCTGGGCTCAGCTGGCCTGGCTGATAGTACCCTGTAAGGGCTCCTAATCCAGGGATACAGGATGAGCAGTGTTTGTACTCCATGTTAATAGTGGCTGCACATGGCGTCTGTTCCTCATGTCAGAGGCGGCCATTTATTTTGGAGCTAAGTCGGCCTGCCACTGAATAGTGCTCCCAGTCTTAATGACAAAGGCAGACGCATTCTACTTCACCCAGTCATGATGGTTTTCAAATCTCAAGCTTTACAAGTTTGATACCCTAATATGATTGAGTGGAGATAAGAAAGAAGAAGAAGAAGAAAACATCGACTGTTTCTTATAAGTGTTTACAAATATATATATAGAAATCAATATTAAAAATGGCATATCCTGACCAGGAGCACATGTGCTTTTCAGAAGGCAGAGCGCCATCTGGTGGAACAGAAATCAACTATTCATTGATTTAGCCTGTTCCCTGATATTTGGCCAACCCAATTTCTTGATAAATCAAGAACGATGGCGCTCTGCCTTCTGAAAAGCACATGTGCTCCTGGTCAGGATATGCCATTTTTAATATTGATTTCAACACCTGATCTTTTTATCTTTTATTTTTTTCTTTCGTTTTTTAATGTGCTAAGCGTATTTACGCAAGTTTGGCCTTAAATACCCATTTCTTGGTTTTTCGGGAAGCCATTGGGATCAAAAATTATTTTTTGGTCGCAATGGTTCAGCCTACTCCACGCTGACGAGCGCCAAAAGCGCGAAACGCGTTCGTGGATGGCTTTTCTTGATTTATCAAGAAATTGGGTTGGCCAAATATCAGGGAACAGGCTAAATCAATGAATAGTTGATTTCTGTTCCACCAGATGGCGCTCTGCCTTCTGAAAAGCACATGTGCTCCTGGTCAGGATATGCCATTTTTAATATTGATTTCAACACCTGATCTTTTTATCTTTTATTTTTTTCTTTCGTTTTTTAATATATAGAAATAAAAAGAAACACACACATTGTGAGAAAGAAATATTTGGAGTTTTTTTTTTCATTACTTTTAACATTACAACTAGTAGATCAAACTTTTCATCTCCAAAAGTATTCATCACTCACCTATACCAGAAATTGTATATATTAGGTTATTAAGAACCAAGCTTTGACATATTTAAAGTACGGAGTCTACCTATACATATAATTTGGTATTTGCGGAAGAGCGATTGCTCGAAGCATATTATATATTTATAATTGTATGTAATTCTACTGTCCTCGAAGCTTATGTCCATAGTTCATCGAAAATACCCATTCCAAGAGTCTAACAACAGTATCACTATAAAAGGAAGATCTAAAAATGCAATATAACAGCGGTATGGTAGATTAAACTGGCGAAACCGCTGGGAGGGTTCACCACTGATGAGCCAGGCCCTCCCATAAATTTTTCCATATTGCAGTAAGGGCAGGAGAAATTGTTTAATTTCAAAAAGAATCTTATGCGTCTAAAATAATTTCGAATTTTCATAACAGATGGCGCGCTAGTGCATCATACACATATACCTATCTACATGTGGCATACTTACATTAGAAGTAGTTGAATCCTGGAATATGTAAATTATCAAAATTGTTGTTCATCAGTTTTAAAACTCTTTTGCATATTTGGTGTCGTGGGAGTACACAGCGTGCTGGGAGATTGAGTATCTCCAAACGTAAAACTGATAAAAGATAAGAAGAGAGATAAGTTCAACTCGCAATGATATTCTGGGGGGGGGGCGGCTAAATCAGCTAAGAAATGACACCATTATGGTAGAAAATCAGAATCAAAAAAGGATATTCAAGCAAAATACAACTGCTTTCGTTGCACTTCTGATAGAATTCCTTCCAATTATTTTAAATCATTGCAATAAGAGTGGGAGGGGGGGGGGGGGGGGCAGTAGAAAATTGATTTATTTGGGAATAAATAGACGCGCTCTAAAATAGTTAACATTTTCGATAATAGATGGCGCGCTAATGTATCTTGTTTAATTTGTAATTAAGAAAGAATAGCGTTGAGAAAAATTTAGAATTATATTCATATTTATATCCAGGACTTTTTTCTATATATTTAGACTTGGTCAACAATGGAAAAATTGTTTCTAGTTAAAGAAAATATATTTTTTATAGCGATTCTATATATGACTAACCGGATTTTTTTTCTCTCTAATATATAACTTAAGCTATATCTCAAAGTAAAAAATAATATTTATTGTCTTCATTCAGGAAATGAGAAATATCATTATGCATATCGTCAAATTTTAAAGGGAAAAAAATCATTGATGATAAAATTTGATATTATCTATGATATTATATTGTTGAAATTTGACCATGCAAAAGATCGAAATCACGACAAATCTTAACTTAAAAAAAGATTGAGAATTGATAAAGAAGAAAAAGAAAATATCAAAATTGTTGTTCATCAGTTTTAAAACTCTTTTGCATATTTGGTGTCGTGGGAGTACACAGCGTGCTGGGAGATTGAGTATCTCCAAACGTAAAACTGATAAAAGATAAGAAGAGAGATAAGTTCAACTCGCAATGATATTCTGGGGGGGGGGGGGGGGGGGGGCGGCTAAATCAGCTAAGAAATGACACCATTATGGTAGAAAATCAGAATCAAAAAAGGATATTCAAGCAAAATACAACTGCTTTCGTTGCACTTCTGATAGAATTCCTTCCAATTATTTTAAATCATTGCAATAAGAGTGGGAGGGGGGGGGGGGGCAGTAGAAAATTGATTTATTTGGGAATAAATAGACGCGCTCTAAAATAGTTAACATTTTCGATAATAGATGGCGCGCTAATGTATCTTGTTTAATTTGTAATTAAGAAAGAATAGCGTTGAGAAATTATTATAATATTGAATAAGAATATATTATTATTCTGGTATTTTTTTGGACTTTGCAATTGAGGGGAAGAATCGAATTGTAATAAATGGCATGTTGGAATCAAGAAGAAATTCAGCAATAGCAACGATGTTTACAATATTCAGAAGATGCCAGGCCCTAAATATTTTGAAGAAAATAAGAATAAACAAAATATATCAAAATTGCAATTAACTTATACTCAAGTTTATATTACAATATAATGCGGCTTATGATTGTAAAACGACATTTGAAAATTATTCCGCATGTGTTTCTTTTAAACGAAAAATCTAAATTTATTTTTAAGGAGAAATAACGATTGTTTCTAACCTTAGGGATGAATTATGAAAGGATGAATTGTGAAGAGTGATTATAAACGGAAAAATAAAAGTGTCCAGAGATGGGAAGTTTATAGCAAATATGTTGAAGAGAAATCAAAGGTAAGAATTCCTATGATTGCTATAGCATTTACATCAAAGATATTTCTGCCTCACCTAAACAAGAGGAATTAAATTCTTAAGATCAATTTCAAATGTCAAATCAGGTTTCGCTTCTCTATTGAAATCTCTCTACTGATGAAGGCCACAATCTACTTGTCAGAAGGACAGATAGGTCAAACTGTGACGTTGATATATTCTCCTCCTATAATTCGCTGAGGGAAGAGATTTTTTCTTATC